CGCCTGTGCGTCGTTCAAATGCTTGTGCGCGCTGCGCCGAATAACAAAACGAACAACTATTTAAATTTTCCTACGCTGCATCTTAAGAAGCACCGTTGGAAATGCCTTCTTTCATTGATTTCTTCAAAATGAGAGCTTGCCAGAAAGGATAATTTCACAGGGAGTTTAGTCCCCTTACTATCTTTCAACCAGTATGTTTTTCAACAATAATTACGCCAGTTACTTTTCTGGATAGCTGCAAATGATGGACTCGGGCTTTAAGACACACTTCATCGGTGTATCAAATTTGATTGTGTTTCTAAGCAAAAAAACACCCATTAATCCAGGTCACTTTCTTTTTAACTCCTCCTGTACTCATTAGACTGATACTCATACTCGTACTCAAAAAAAAAAAAAAATCTGGTACTCACGGGTTTAGTTATGAGTACATGAACTCTGAGATGTTGTTCGGTCCCTTTTCTGAGTCTAACAAATGTTCTAAAACCTGAAGTCGTGTAGAAAATTAAAGCTAAGAAACTGTGTAGTTCGCGGTTTCGGTAGGTCGGATAGAAAACTAAGCATGTGAACCAAAGCATGCTGTCCTTTTTTTTTTTGGAGGGGGAGGGGAGGGGAAGGGAAGGGGGAGTTGTTCACCCGAACTATGCCATGCTTACTTTTTACTCTGTGTTCCTTCCTCCATGGTGTTCTTAAGAGTAAAAGAAAAAAATCCTGTGCAACTTAGTCCTCATTTTGATGGAGTGGGTCACTTGAAGTCTGGATCCTAATTGACGTGCTCTTGTACCGCGCATGTGCCCTTCTACTGCGAAATGTATTTTACCGAAATGTATTTTACCGTAACTTATGTATTTGAAAGTCTTTATTAATATAAAAAAATAGAAAAACTGTACATGTTCTATGGAATAAAGTACTGTAACGCAAATGAGCGAGTCCTGTGGTGCGAGCTTCAATCTTTTCATAAAAGCTTTAATCGTTCCATACAAGAACCCTTGCACAATGTGACAGGTTGGCTGCTCTAGGCGCTGAGGTTCACTGGGAAACGGACTTATCATCGTGACGCAAACGCGTTTGCCTGAAATTTACGCAATTTCATAACTTTATGTGACTACAGATTGTCAATGATGTATTTTGAATCTTAGTTCAACCAATTCTTCAACATCTGCATGTGCTTTCAAGTGTTTATAGTGTTTTTCGAGTAATTCTGGGGAATTCGACAGAGGTTTGATAAATTGGACGGGTTTTTGAAGTGAATTTAATTAGCAGAATTTGGCCATGAGCTTACGGTCACCATGACTACTAACGGACATTTCCAACGGTGCTTCTTAGGACACACCATTGCGGAAATAGGGGATAGCTGCAAATGATGGACTCTGGCTTAACTTCAGAAAATCCATTAAGGTTGCAGACCAGTAAATCGGTCCGAAATTGCCTATACGCCTGCCAAATCACGATTTGCATGCCCTAAAATCTTTAGTATTTGAGCATGCTGTGGGCCATGAACTAGAGGGTTTGTAAAAAATATGGGTGGAAGCCGTGCACAGGACTGTGAACTTGTAGCTCCGTTCAATTTGGATGAAATTAGGGCCCTTAAAGCGCTTTATTTTGCAATGGAGTGTAGGCCGGCGATGGGCTTCAGGACTATTTTCAGGGGTGATCATCTTCGGATGGACATTTCTCCTAAAAGTCATCAGTTGACCCCCCCAAAAATTGAAAAGAAAATGAAAGACGATGAAATAAGCTTTAATTTGATGTGTGTGTCTCGAACACCTTGGAGAGTTGTGAGTATTTTTCCCGAATTTCTGAAGTGGGAGCATTTACCATTGGGGTCTATGGAAGTTCATTTTATACTGGTCTGCTACCTTAATGCAATTGGGTGCCGGTGTGGAAGGTAATTCTGTCCCCCGGTAAAAGTGTCCGGGGGGGGGGGACAGAATTACCTAGGTAAAAGTGTCCTCCCTGGCCCGTTAATTCTGTCCCCCTCCAGGTAATTCTGTCCCCTCCAGGTAATTCTGTCCTTCAGGTTTTTTTGTCCCCCTCTTTTGAAACCCGGAGGGTTATTGTTTTGATGAATTCACTCTACAAGGTATACATTTTGGACTTTTAGTCTGCCCTTCATGAATATAAAAAATAATTAATTTAGTCTATTAGATGATACGTGAACACAATGTTTCGATTCGGAGTACGGTGAAGTCTATCGTGATTCTACCGCGATAGGTCAACACAGCGGCGATGCATGGCGATGGCCCTCGTCTCATTGATAGTATGATACAACGTCTCCTTGGATTGGTCTGTGTTCCCATAATAGCGCGTAACGAAACTTCCTATTGGACGAATTTCCATTGTAAAGGGAGACGCGCGTAACGAAACTTCCTATTGGACGAATTTCCATTGTAAAGGGAGACGCATATGTACACATGTTATAATCACTGCCTCAAATCTTGCAGCATTTACTGGCGCGTGCGACACGCTGCTGCTCAGTACATACTGCATGGGGACACATTTACCAGGGGGACACTTTCACCGTTGGACAGGGGGATATTTTTACCTGGAGGGGGACAAATTTACCTAGGTAAAAGTGTCCCCCCGGACACATTTACCGGGTCACGAGCCGGTAAATGTGTCCGGGGGGACACATTTACCAGGGTGACAGAATTACCTGTCACACCGGCCATCAAGAGCGCCCTCATTTCGATGGTGGGCGCCACCTTCAGGCTTCGGATCGAGTGCGATCATTGCTCTCCGTCTTACTATAATGGAGATCAATGAGGGTGATGCACAAACGCCACTGAGTGTGGACGGTAATTCTGTCCCCCGGTAAAAGTGTCCGGGGGGACAGAATTACCTAGGTAAAAGTGTCCCCCCTGTCCCGTTAATTCTGTCCCCCTCCAGGTAATTCTGTCCCCTCCAGTTAAAGGGAAAATACAACATTTGCAAACATCAAAAAACGAAATGATCAAATTATCACGAAATACCTTACTGAATTGTTAGGGACTGACAGTCTAAAGCATCCTTTAAAATTGTGGCTCCTGTTGTGCTGACATTTTCAAGAAAACCTGTATTTTTCCAACGCTGGTCGGCCGACCAGCGTTGGAGAAAACTGGCTTTTTTTTCAAAAAAATTGTTCTTAATTTTTCATATTTGTTATTCTGACTTTTCTTTGCAATTGATTACACACCTCTGCAGGGCTACAAGCCTGCTAGACTGATTCTCTGACCTTACAATATCCCAAAGTGTATTAATTGCTCCGTTTCATCTTAAGTGGGGTCAGGGAACCAGACTACAAAACATGAAAGGTTTTCTTGGTTTTTCCAGCATCTACAAGCCCAAAACGTGAGACAAGTCAGTTTACCAATATTTTCTATAACATATTAATCCTCCAAATCCATTTATTTCTGAAAATTGAAGCAAAAGCAAATGTTGTACATTCCCTTTAATCCTGTCCTCCCTGGTTTTGCACGCATAAGTTGTTATATTGATGTTATTATAATGAATTCAGCGCACAGGGTATACATTTTTAGATTTTTCCACCCTTCATCAATAATTATCATATCAAAATGAAATTAACGTTTAGATGTTAATCAACCGATCTATGTTTCTGCAAGAAGGCACGCGTAGTAATACTCAACCTATCGCTAGCGCGCGCACGCGCATCAGCCGCCGATATGCGTGTGACTGTCATGGCGGACTTCAATGAGGAGAACTGGCAAAATTATACGCGACACGGGTCACCGCGCCGCAGGCCTGCTGCTGGTGCACTGTTGTCCCCGTCCCCGGCCGCGGTCCTGGCGCGGCCCGTAGGTGCGGTACACTCGCGCGCACGCCCACCATGCAAATCGTTCGCTCCCGAAGTCGTCATCAAAACGGGAGTTGCGCTTTGATGACGTAAGCACCATTCCCGAATTTAGCAAGGCGCCGCGCAAAAACAGTTAATAACTTCACTAATATACAGTCTGGGTGCTAGACTTGTGACGTTGCACGGGGACACATTTACCAGGGGGGGACACATTTAACGTCGTGCAGGGGGACAGATTTACCTAGAGGGGGACAGGTTTACCTAGGTAAAAGTGTCCCCCCGGACAGATTTACCGGGTCACAACCCGGTAGATCTGTCCGGGGGGACACATTTACCAGGGGGGACAGAATTACCTGCCACACCGGTACATCCCGTGCGCATGTCAAGATTTCCCTATTAAATTCAATTCCACTTCAAATTTCAATTCAATTCACATTTGCAGAGTGCGACAGAGACTTACGTAGGATCTACAGGCAATACAATCTGATTTTTTCTTTCAGTCAAAAAGAAAATCTGAAATTATTGAACTTTATTAATTTGAAAGATGGCTGTTCCATAAAACACCATAAAAGAAAACCATTTTTGTGTCGAAATTAATTAATAATCATGAACCATTATTCGCTCGTACTCGTATGATCGTGGACTGCATTTAAATAATTAGGGATGATCCTCTTTTTTTTGGGGGGGGGGATGGAATTAATTGTCTCCCTACAGTACACCCCACCCCCCCCCCCCCCCCCCCCCCCCCCCCAAAAGTGAACAGAATAGGAAAAATGATGGGGAAAAAATCAAAAGTTTGATATGTGTCTCATCCTTCCTCCATGCTCAAACACGTACCTCGTATTTTTTTTTACCGCGTACAGAATGGGGGGGGGGGGGGATTGCTCAGTGGCGTTTATTTACTGGTGGTCTGCATTTTGGCTAGAGCGCCCTCCATAGTTTCTATTCATTTAGTTGGAGCAGGTGTCTATGAATTATTCAGTACATTCTAAAAGAGCTCATTTTGCTTTCGTATAGGAAAAAAATAGATGGTGCCCTTTTTAAATGAATAAGATCACAATAATCGTATTTTAAGTGTGGAAAAGGGGTCCTCTTTTATTCACTGAATACGTTGTAAAGATACCCAGTTGGGAGTTTATTATCGCAATAATTAGGTCACTGTTATTTATGTCGTCACTTGATGAATATTCATAATGTACATTTCAGCTCAGCTAGCAATGATGGCGGACCGGTAGCACAGGTATTATTTTACTCTACAAACGGCGATTTTATTTCTTATTCGCCAACTCTTCGGCAATGGTTTGCTACCTCCACTCAGACGACACGCCAGTGAATATCTGTACACCATGTCTAGTGGAGATATGCAGCATGTGGGGCCTTACAAACTGGAGAAAACCCTGGGAAAAGGGCAGACGGGTAAGTCAGAATTGTCAGCAGAATGAAAACCATTCACCAGTCATTAACATAAATTTTTGGAAGGATTCATTTTTATTGTGGGGGAGGGTGGAAATCATGGTCCTTTGAAGAAAACTAAAGTGTTGAGTTTTGCATCGTGTTATTGACATATTAGTCGAAGAATATTATTTACAGTATCATAAACATTCTCAAATATATTTTACTATTATAAATCCAAACAATATCATGACAAGAATTAGAAATTTGGAAACAGATTTTCGGTTGTTGTTAAATCACCCCTGTTAAGTTTATGTGTGTTGCCCAACTAACCCACCCTATAAACCCGACCGACCCTGTCAAAAATCAGGGATCCAATTGTGATCCAATTTTGCTTGTTTGTGCTTTTTTCATACAAACATACGTGTACATTATTTTTTCAATAATTTCTTCTCATTTATATTTTTTACAAATACTGACAAATATTTTTTCATTGCTTGGACAAAGAAAACAAAGTCATTTATGCATAATTTAATAATCATGACATGATTTTGTCAATGATAAGACCAATTCATAAATACCTCAGACAGTTTAGCTATTCCTATTGGTCGAGAGCCCGTCACGTGGCCGGTATTAAACGGATGATAAAGACATGGCTAGCTGGTCTTAAACACTTTTCCAGTGTCACAATAAAATGTGGACTCCTAAAAATCCAGTGCCTCTTACCATTTCATTGGTTGAACGTTCACAATCCTCACGTAGGCATGCGCAACACTACAAGCGAGTCAGAATTTTATAGTTCTAAATTCAAAACGCAACGCCCCAGGTGCGTTCTGCGTTACATCGCGCAGGACATGTTACGCGCGCGTCAATCTCCATAAAAGGGTTGTTTACATCTTACTCGCCAGCTGAACACTCCATTATTTTGCTAGAGGGATGTTTCAAAAAGCATGAAGTGAACTTGTTGAACAAAATCGGGATTTTTTGAACGAATTATTTGATATTTTTTACGGATAAGGTATTTATGAATGGGAATAAATATGTGCTCGGTCGGTATTTATCACTCTGTTTAATACCGCTTAGAGTCTGGGTGCTGATAATTACCCTCGCCTCCGGCTCGGGTAATTATCAGCACCCAGACTCTAAGCGGTATTAAACGAGTGATAAAAACCTCCGGAGCACACATTTATTCCCTTAGTAATGTAGACCATAAATAGTAAGTAGCGTAGCGGCTAACAACAGTAGCATTTGCAGTAGCTGGGCGTAACGGGATTTTCATCTGTTATATTTTCTTTACAGCATTGCCAAATGTTGCAAAGCATCATTCTGAATGATATCTAAAATTGCCCCACTAACATTAACAAGAGAGGTAGCTGGATTGGTTAAATGCTTGACTACAAGTTAGCTGAAGGTCCTGGGATCAAATCCACGCCAAACTTCCCCCCCCCCCCCCCTTTTTCTTTTTAATGTTGGCCTAGTTTCGATTTCTTTTATGTTTTTAATCAAATCCTACTTTGATTGAAGTAGATTTCATTTTCTTGTTCATAATCCAAGAACCATTCAGATGATAGCCTGGTTCCAATAGCCAAAAATCCTGACGTTGAATACTATGACACATACATGTAGGTCAGGGAACCGGACGGTTGACTGCCGTAACAATAGCGGAATGCTAAAAAAAAAAGATAAAAAAAAAGGACAGTAGGCCTACATTTGTAAATTGTACGCAAGTACAAAATGTAAAGCATAATGTTAAAACAACTTTATAAGCTGAAATTTGCAGATTTTATTTATTTTGCAAACCAAAGGCTCATAAAATTCACATTGGTTGCCAAAAAAAGAGGAACTACACGTACTAGGGGCCTAAGTAGAACTGAAATTCAAAGGGAATCAAAAAAATGAAAATCAAAGGGAATCTGAATGTGCCTTTTGCAATTTGGGATTAAATTTCTGGGTGTTTTTTGTTTTTTTTTTGTTTTTTTGTTGCAAGTACTTTTTTTTGCACAAGATGGGGCATTTTCCAAGATGGCGGATTAATTCTTCCATTTTATCGACTATTTTGCTATACAAAATTATGTCCAATAGTTTTAAAGGGAATTTGCAAACATCACAAAAATAAAACTACCAAATTGTTTTGAAATACCGGCCTCGCAGGACTGTTAGTGAAAGACAGTCTAAAGCATCCTGTAAAATCATGGCACCTGGCATTCAATTACATACATGTACATATGTACTTTCATTTTCAAGGAAAGTGGTATTACTTTGGTAACAAGTACGGTAGTTTACATGGATGTGCATTGATTGTACATTGTTTCCCACTGTTTCCTAAAAACATTACAAAAATGAAAAGCTACAATGTTCATTCACTACATGTACCGTACTGTACACGTACCGGTACACAGAAAAACATTTGATTTAGTAATTTACTCTGTGTAGTTCAAAGGTTTTATCTCGGGTGATAGATCTATCCTTGTGGCATGATCGCTTGACCCAAGAAACTATCGATATAAATCAGACTGCTTCGTGGTCTGGCCTGTGACGTCAATCCCAGGCCGGGATCCATCTTGAAATCAGCGAGCTGGAAAATTTAATAACCTCGGAAAAAAGCAGAGGGTGTGAAGGAGCAGTGCATGGAATTAACCTCGCCGCCTCTTTTTTGGCTACAACTGTGAATGTTTACAATGTACGTACCATATGTAGGAACTAGGAGCCATCCTTAATCCTGAAAAATCCTCCAGTTGCAGCTGTGTAACAATTGGTACATACATATGCAGCCCCGCAATCATCCAAAATCATCCGTTATTTCTTGAATTTATTCAGTGGAGGGGTGACCACTGCCTCATTCTTTCAAAATCCTCCGACTCTTAAAACATGTTGGCGGTTGGAACAATGCGAATGATATTCAGAAGGCAGAAAACAGGGCAGGTGATATCTAGAATAATCTACGGTAGTCATAATTTGTTCATGGCTAAACATGCATTGTGTGGATTTAATAAGACATTGGCTTGAAACAATGCATCCTCCAAAATCAACTGGCACTACAACAGGCCCTTGAGGTGGTTTGTGACAGTAGAAGGAGTAACAGGCAGGGCAGTTTGGTGGTGGTGGTAGGAGTAACAGGCAGGGTGGTTTGCGGCAGTAGAAAGAGTAAAAGGCAGGGTGGTTTGGGGCGATAGAAAGAGTAACAGGCAGGGCGGGTTTGGGGCAGTAGAAGGAGTAACAGGCAGGGTGGTTTGCGGCAGTAGAAAGAGTAAAAGGCAGGGTGGTTTGGGGCGATAGAAAGAGTAACAGGCAGGGCGGGTTTGGGGCAGTAGAAGGAGTAACAGGCAGGGTGGTTTGGGGCGATAGAAAGAGTAACAGGCAGGGTGGTTTGGGGCGATAGAAAGAGTAAAAGGCAGGGTGGTTTGCGGCAGTAGAAAGAGTAACAGGCAGGGTGGTTTGGGGCGATAGAAAGAGTAACAGGCAGGGCGGGTTTGGGGCGATAGAAAGAGTAACAGGCAGGTTGGTTTGCGGCAGTAGAAAGAGTAACAGGCAGGGTGGTTTGGGGCGATAGAAAGAGTAAAAGGCAGGGTGGTTTGGAGCGATAGAAAGAGTAACGGGCAGGGCGGGTTTGGGGCAGTAGAAGGAGTAACAGGCAGGGTGGTTTGCGGCAGAAGAAAGAGTAAAAGGCAGGGTGGTTTGGGGCGATAGAAAGAGTAAAAGGCAGGGTGGTTTGCGGCAGTAGAAAGAGTAAAAGGCAGGGTGGTTTGGGGCGATAGAAAGAGTAAAAGGCAGGGTGGTTTGCGGCAGTAGAAAGAGTAAAAGGCAGGGTGGTTTGCGGCAGTAGAAAGAGTAACAGACAGGGTGGTTTGCGGCAGTAGAAGGAGTAAAAGGCAGGGTGGTTTGGGGCGATAGAAAGAGTAACAGGCAGGGCGGGTTTGGGGCAGTAGAAGGAGTAACAGGCAGGGCGGGTTTGGGGCAGTAGAAGGAGTAACAGGCAGGGTGGTTGGCGGCAGTAGAAAGAGTAACAGGCAGGGTGGTTTGGGGCGATAGAAAGAGTAACAGCCAGGGTGGTTTGGGACAGTCATGACAGTAGAAGGAGTAACAGGCAGGGCAGTTCGGGGCAGTAGCAGGAGTAACAGGCAGGGTGGTTTGGGACAGTCATGACAGTAGAAAGAGTAACAGGCAGGGCAGTTCGGGGCAGGAACAGGAGTAACAGGCAGGGTGGTTTGGGACAGTCATGACAGTAGAAGGAGTAACAGGCAGGGCAGTTCGGGGCAGTAGCAGGAGTAACAGGCAGGGTGGTTTGGGACAGTCATGACAGTAGAAGGAGTAACAGGCAGGGCAGTTCGGGGCAGTAGCAGGAGTAACAGGCAGGGTGGTTTGGGACAGTCATGACAGTAGAAGGAGTAACAGGCAGGGCAGTTCGGGGCAGTAGCAGGAGTAACAGGCAGGGTGGTTTGGGGAGGTAGCCGCAGTAACCGGCAGGGCGTGGTTTGAGATTGTAAAATGAGTAACAGGCAGGGCAGTTTTGGGCCTATTACATGCATGGGTTATCCCCTTGAAAGTTGAAGTTCAAGCAAAAGTGTCTTGGGGCAGGTTGGGGCGGTAGGCCTTTAGAAATGTGCCAAAGTGTTACATACATGTACATGTAGGTGGAAGGATACATACCGGATTCCTGAAATTTATACTCATTCGACAAATCCAAGGAAAAGGGTTGAAGTGTCTTGATGCATCAACAAATGTAGCAGAGCAGGGATTAATGACCATTTCTAACTTAAAATGAGTTTTTAAATTTCAAAAATGTATTTAAACTATCATTCATAAATACCTCAGACAGTTTAGCCATTCCTATTGGTCGAGAGCCCGTCACGTGGCCGGTATTAAACGGATGATAAAGACATGGCTAGCTGGTCTTAAACACTTTTCCAGTGTCACAATAAAATATGGACTCCTAAAAATCCAGTGCCTCTTATCGTTTCATTGGTTGAACATTCACAATCCTCACGTAGGCATGCGCAACACTACCAGGGAGTTAGAATTTTATA